ACCAACTGCACAGGAGGCAGTTTTAAACTGGTGACCAAATTTCCAAAACCAAAGCGGGAGGAGAACCTGATGCCTGCATATCGGGGATGGCAGGCACAAGCAGTGGCCCCAAGCTGACATGCAGGCAACAGCGGACTGGTTCTTGGCTGGTGTCAGAGGAGCCTCCCCCAGGGGCTGAGGCTATTTTTACCAGCATCTTTGCTGGCCACCGAAGCGGGCACGTCCCTGGCACGTCCTGGCGCAGGCTCCCGGCTGCCACGGCCGCCTCCCCGCCCCTCAGGCGGCGACCCCTTCTCAGCCCGACCAAGGGGCAGTCGGCCAGGCCGAGAGCCGCCGCCTGCTTCCTCTCATCGACCCGGAGCCCCTGCCCGCAGTGCCGCCCGGCCCTCGCCAGCATCCCGGGCTGCGGACAGCTCCTCCCGCCCGCTCCGCCCCCCCCCCCGGAGCCCGGCCCGCGGCCCCCGCGTCCCGGCCTCCGCCGGCCGGCCCCACGCCGTACCCCACCGGCGGGACCCCGGCCTCCCCGGGCCCTCCTGTCCCTGGCCGCGGCGGGGCTCCCAGACCTGCTCAGCCGCCGCCGCCGCCGCCGCTGCCGCCATCTTCCCGCGCCCGGCGCCGCCGCCCTCCCCGCCGCACCCAGCGCGCCTGCGCCTGCGCCCTGGCCCGGTGGGGGGGGGGCCCCCCCCCGCCCCCCCCCCCCCCCCCGCAGCCCCGCCCTAGGGAAGGGAGGTTCTGTGTGAGGTGGGGGGTCAGCCGCTCCTGCATCCAGCGCTGTGGCCTCGGGGCGCGCCTTCCCGTCCAGCGGTGTTCATGCGAGCTCGGGCCGCTTCTGGATTCTCCCGAAAGGAGGACGCCTCTCCCTTCGCCCTCCATTCCCATCACGCAGGGCTAGTGCGGTCCCGAGCTGTGACGTCCTCCTTGCATCATGGACCGGGACCTCCCTGGCCAGGGTGGCAAGGGGGCGTTCTGGAGAGCACATAGGGGCGGGGGTGGTGACAGTGTGCATGGAAGTTAACACGTTGCCAATTAGCCTGCTAAAATCTTGGAAACTGAGAGGCCTCAAGGAGGACAGAAAAGCACTTTAGGGATGCTTCTTAACTTTGGAGGGCCTGTGAAGTCTGATGCTTTTTTCTGTGGTATTGGGGGTGTATTTTCCATTTAGTATTGGAGACAGCGTTGTCGATATACATCGTGGGGAACCCAACCTAACGGATACCCACTGCACACCGGGAATGTGCCGCCCAAATGTACAAGTAACTTGAATACACATTCCTTGTTCCTTGTTGTCAATAGAATCCAACGCTCTTCGTAGTTTTTTGGTTTTTGGTTTCAGTGCAGTGAAACTGAGGTGTAAGAACTGTTCCCCAGGTGGCTGAAACTACTTCTAGAAAGCACCTTTGGGCCCCAGCGCTGCCTAAGTCAGCAGGAAACTGCAAAGACACCAGCTGGCAAAAGCTTTCTTTCTCTAGGAACCAGGTCAGTTTTGCTTTTTTGATGACTGGGGCTGTTATTTCATGGCTCTGCTTGCTTTCCATCAGAACATTGCTGTGAAGTTGAAATTAGATCATCTGTTGCATGAGAAATCCCTCATAAACTTTCCCCTTCTCTCTGGATTTTGGCTAATGTCAGTAGCTCACTGGTCATCAATCTCTATATATCTTCTTTCCCAAATGCTAGAACCACTGACTCACATCTCTATGCTCAGTGCTGCTAGGATCTCTAGGACAAACCTGCATCTTAACCAGGACAACTGCAAATTGTAGCCCAAACTGTTGGGAGTCAGCAGTAAGTCTGTTAATACTCTGGCTCTGGTTTCATTTATCAACTCAGATAACTGGGCTTTTGACTGATCCTCAGTTCCTGTCTCCAGTTCTGGTCCTTACTTCCTATGCTTTGCCTCTTTTTCCTCTGCTTGGAAAGAGCTTCTCTTTTTCTCTCTGGCAAGCACACTCTATTCATCCTCCTAGAATCCATCCAAATGTCACATTCTCTCTAAAGCCTTCCCAGGCTCCCACAGGCAGTTTTTAGCTGGTCTGTCCCTTAACTCTGCTGTTTTTTGTAGTACATCATGTTGTGTTATATTTTATCTTGTTTACTTGTCTGATGTCACCTGAAAGATGGTGAGCTCTGTCAGGAAGGTTCATGTCTTACTTGTCCTTTTACCTGGAGTGCCTGGCAGAGCATAGAAACTTCATAAACATCTTAGAAATCTGCCTGATATCCCAGTTTTTAAGACTAGAAGCCCTGCCTTCATTTTGCTAACTTCTCTTTGACTTAGGTGGTGAGATACCTGATAATTGATTTTCTTGATGCCAAATGCCCCTTAGAGTCCAATTTTTTGACATGTTGGGCTTGAAGTGTGTGTTGGTTTGGAGTCCTCATTGCTGATCTCCATCTCTCTGACAGGACACCTCCCAGTTCTTCTTGTTGTCAATTGCTATAGTCTAAACACTCAGTATACTCACATAACCCCATCTTTAATGTGGGTCATTCCCAAATGTGTTATCTTCAAGCTTATTTTTTTTTTTTGAAATAATAGCATCTACCATATACCTGGGAATGAGTCTTTAACTTCCCTGCCAGTTTTATAATAGGTCATATTATTCCCATTTTACAAATAAAGAAATCAAGACTCATAGAGGTTAAAAGGCTAACCAGGTTTTCAACTAATATAGAGTCTGGATTGAACCTAGATCCTTCTGACTAGTTTTTGCTCTTTCTACAACATAACATAGTCTTTAATTCTGCATTTCCTTGTGCCTTTGGAAGTGCAAACCAAGCCTAGAGTACTAGTCAGATTATGAAGACAGTTATCCCTTCATTCACTTTATAAATGCATTGAATAGTATCCCCCCCAGCAAAAATATATCCAAGTCCCAATCACCAGTACCTGCAAATGTGATGTTATTTGGAAATAGGGTCTTTGCAGATATAAATAAGTTAAATATCTCAAGAGAGCTCACCCTGGATTTGGGTTGGGCTCTAAATCTCATGACCGGTGTCCTTAAAAGAGGAGGAGAGGACAAAGACACACAGAAGAGAAGACAATGTGAAGGCAGAGGCAGAGATTGGAGTAATGTTTCTACAAGGCAAGAAATGCTACAACTTGTCACCAGAAGCTAGGAGAGAGGCATGGATCAGATTCTCCCTAAGAGCTTCCAGAAGGAACTAACCCCGCTGGTTTTCTGAATTCTAACCTCTAGAACTGTGAGAAAATAAATTTCTGTTGTTTGAAGCCATCAAATTTGTTACAGTGGCCCTTAGGAAACCAACACACACTTCAAGCCCAACACGTCAAAAAATTGGACTTAAAAATCTTTCCTCCCCAATCTGCTCTTTGGGTGTTCCCTTAGTGAATGACCCCACCCTCCAGTCCGAAACCTTCAAAGTCATTCTATACTCTTTGTAGTGTGATCTTTCTAAAAATACAAACGCAATCATGACACTCTTCATCCTGAACTTGAAAATCCTCCAATAACTTTCACAATGAAAATTCTTTATATTAGCACATAAAGTTCTGTACTTTCTGGTCCCTGTCTACCTCTTTTTTAGCCTCATTCCCTGCCCCTTCTACAAACTCATCCTACACTCCAGCCATGTGTGGTATTTGCAGTTCCCATCTGTTTGCCTGAATGCATCAAGTTCTTAATGTCTCTGTGCTTTTGCAGATGTGGCTATTTCTCTATTTTATCTAGCTATTCTCCTCCTTGTCCGCCAAAACCTAGCTCAAGGGATATCTCTTCTGGGAAGCCCTTCTTTTTATTTTTTTATTTTTTATTGTTATGTTAATCACCATACATTACATCATTAGTTTTTGATGTAGTGTTCCATGATTCATTGTTTGTGCGTAACACCCAGTGCTCCACGCAGAACGTGCCCTCTTTAATACCCATCACCAGGCTAACCCAGCCCCCATCCCCCTCCCCTCTAGAAACCTCAGTTTGTTTTTCAGAGTCCATCGTCTCTCATGGTTCATCTCCCCCTCCGACTTACTGCCCTTCATTCTTCCCCTCCTGCTATCTTCTTCTTTTTTTTTCTTAACATATATTGCATTATTTGTTTCAGAAGTACAGATCTGTGATTCAACAGTCTTGCACAATTCACAGCGCTCACCATAGCACATACCCTCCCCAATGTCTATCACCAGCCACCCCATCCCTCCCACCCCCCACCACTCCAGCAACACTCAGTTTGTTTCCTGAGGTTAAAAATTCCTCATATCAGTGAGGCCATATGATACATGTCTTTCTCTGATTGACTTATTTCACTCAGCATAACACCCTCCAGTTCCATCCATGTCGTTGCAAATGGCAAGATCTCATTCCTTTTGATGGCTGCATAATATTCCATTGTGTATATATACCACTTCTTCTTTTTCCATTCATCTGTCGATGGATATCTTGGCTCTTTCCACAGTTTGGCTACTGTGGACATTGCTGCTATAAACATTGGGGTGCATGTACCCCTTCGGATCCCTACATTTGTATCTTTGTGGTAAATACCCAGTAGTGCAATTGCTGGATCATATGGTAGCTCTATTTTCAACTGTTTGAGGAACCTCCGTACTGTTTTCCAGAGTGGCTGCACCAGCTTGCATTCCCACCAACAGTGTAGGAGGGTTCCCCTTTCTCCACATCCCCGCCAACATCTGTCATTTCCTGACTTGTTAATTCTAGCCATTCTGACTGGCATGAGGTGGTATCTCATTGAGGTTTTGATTTGGATTTACCTGATGCCGAGCGATGCTGAGCACTTTTTCATGTGTCTGTTGGCCATTTGGATGTCTTCTTTGGAAAAATGTCTGTTCATGTCGTCTGCCCATTTTTTGATTGGATTATTTGTTCTTTGGGTATTGAGTTTGATAAGTTCTTTATAGATTTTGGATACTAGCTGGGAAGCCCTTCCTAATTTTTTTCCTTATCGCAAATTTCTGATTTCTGTGGCCCCCCAGTAATTGCGATTGCACTGATTTGCTATGATGACGCTTTGATACTTAATAATACACTATCTTGTGTTATTTTACTTTTCATGCATGTATAGTTTGCTCCAGAGTAGACTGTAAGTTCATTACAAAGCAGGGGGAATGTGTTACAACTTCTGTGCTCCTGAAAGTACTGGGAACCAAGTAAATAATAGGTACTTAATAACTGATGAATGAATATTGGATTAATTTTCTTCTATTGGGTAAAAAATATTACCGACATCTAAGTGTCTCTGACATATGTCCACTCTAATGCTCACCATGCATTACTCCAGAGAAGAACCTCATTAACTCTCAAATCTGTGTCTCGTACGAGCTCTTTCTGGGTCTAACATGCTCCAAATTTCACCTCTTGGAGCACCAATATGATATAAAAAAGAGACTCAAACATATCATTTTTCTGTTTACAGCTCTTTGCTGCTTCCCCACTGCCTACAAAATCATGATCAACTTCTTTACCCTGATATACAAGACTTATCACAGTTGAACCCAGGACTATCTTCACAGTCTTGTCTCTGATTCCCTGAATACCCTACAGTCACCCTGGACTAGCATTCATCATTCTCTGCCTGTCCATGCAATTTCATGTGTCTTTGCTACTGTCCATTTTGTTCCATCATCTCTTCTCTTCCTGGTGAAACTCTTCTCCATCCTTCCAGATCTGGCTCTAAATGTCACTCTCTTCTACAACTTCCTTTGATCCGTTCTTCAGAGAGCTGGATGAGGAAGTAAGGGAAGGATCAGTCAGTATTTCATAGAATTTTATATTTACTATTGTAACTTGTCACATTGATCTATGGTTACATATCTCTCTTCTGAATAGATTATGAGATGCTAGGGAGCAGAGACCAAGTCTAATCCTGCCTTATGATTAAGGCAGATGTTTCTGTCACCTAGAAATTCAATGTTTATCAAATGTGATGAAAAAACCTATTTCAACGTCCTTTATTTTAGGGACTGCCCTCATGTGTCCCAAGTCCTCTCCTGGGATCTTTAAGGACATCTTACAGTGTAGATCACACCCAATGTACATTTGCAACACCTTAATGTATCCTAAGAGCACCCCTTCAATGGCCATTTTTCAGAGCCAAGTATTTGCCATTGCATTTAGCTCCAGAGCTGAAAACATTGAGGGCAAGTATGCCTCAATATTCCATCACAATGGTAATGAAAACCTGTGTTGTGATAGGAGGAGTATCTGTGGCTCTCAAAAATCACAATAAATTGGCTCCCCCATTCTAATCTGTATTTGCTACAAAAGCTCCATAGTTTATTTAGGTGCTAAGGTGATACAGTTGTGATAGATTAAAATCTTCCTCTTGTTTGTGTCACGTAACCAAGAAGAGGCATGAAATAATTTTACAGCAACATTCTGAGCTGTTGCTGTGAGCAGGAAAGGCTTATTGGCACGACACAGGAAACAGCATCCCTGCTTTCTGTGCGATGGGGGAGCCTGCCTTCAGCTCAGATCCCAACCAATTGGTTCTTTCTCCAATGGGCAGTGGGTTTTTTTTTTTTTTTGTCTCTTAAAATCTTTTCCTTTCCTGCAATGTAGCTGAGAATAAAAAGGACCTAATGAGGCTGATAAAATGAGTACAGGGAGCCCTCAGACTAGAGAACACGAAGTACGTGGACAAATGAGTGTTTTGCTACCTGTGAATGGAGACAAAGCACCTCAGCAAGACCACCAATGAAAACTGGATTTAAAGGAAGCTTCATGCAAGTGGGTGAGAAAAGGTTAAAAGATTTTCTTCAGATGGCACTAGGCCCTACCCTAAAGAAGGTCCTAACACAGGCAGCTGTCGGACGAGAATAGCACAGCTCACAGAAGAGGATCAGGGGTGCCTGTGAAAGCATCCAAGCCACAGCGGGACAGAATATTCTTTCAGCCATGCTGGCTTAGGGTGGGCAACTGTCCTTAGTGAGGAAGAACTGAAAATGATGATGAGGATTCCACTGTATATCCTTGCAGTTTGTTGTATGTATTTATGTTTAATTTAGTGCAGCGTGGAATTCCATACAAACACACCTCTCACTACAGTGAGTGGGTTCAGTGAATCTTTTGTTGGCTTCTTAAAATCTCCCCAGTTGACCAATGCAGGTAAAATTTAGAGTTAAGGACTCTAAAATTAAAGACTTTTCCTATTCCATCCAGATGTTTGTCACATGACACTTCTCTAGAACAAGTGGCTCCTGGCTGGGTGGTAGAATTATGATGCCATAAGAACCACCAACTGGCTATTAAAACTTTTGCTTTCTTTTGTCTCAACAGGATTATGACATCAGATATAAAGCAGCCAATCATCTCCTCCCTTCCTTCCTTTTTTTTTTTTTAAGATTTATTTATTTTTTTGAGAGAGTGAGAATGAGAGAGAGAGAGAGAGTACATGAGAGCGGGGAGGGTCAGAGGGAGAAGCAGACTCCTCGCTGAGCAGGGAGCCCGATGTGGGACTCGATCCCGGGACCCCAGGATCATGACCCGAGCCGAAGGCAGTTGCTTAACCAACTGAGCCACCCAGGCGCCCATCTTTCCTTTTTTCTTTCACTTTTTATTAACAATTTGGCTCAGCAAACTTTTTTTTTAAAGATTTTTTTTTTATTTGACAGAGCAGGGAGACTGATGCAGGACTCGATTCCCAGGACCCTGGGATCATGACCTGAGCCAAAGGCAGATGCTTAACCGACTGAGCCTCCCAGGCGCCCCAAGTTCAACAAGCTTTTTTTTTTTTTTAAAGATTTTATTTATTTATTTGAGAGAGAGAATGAGATAGAGAGACCATGAGGGGGGGGAGTCAGAGGGAGAAGCAGACTCCCTGCTGAACAGGGAGCCCAATGCGGGACTCGATCCGGGGACTCCAGGATCATGACCTGAGCCAAAGGCAGTCGCTTAACCAACTGAGCCACCCAGGCTCCTTCAACAAGCTTTTATAGAGGGCCTAGAGTGAGTCAGTTGCTATGCTGAGGAAAGATAAATAAACCTCTGTCCCTTTCTTCAAGAAGCTCACAAGCTCATACAGGAGGCAGACAAATAAGTTTAATATAGTGTGATAACTGCAACAATACGATCGTGTCCAAAAGTGAAAGAGAGAAAGCATAAAGAAGAACAGGTTTGGGTTCTGAGAGCCAGGGTGGGTGGAGGGAGTTAGGAAGATTTTGTCAGTTTCAGTTGGGCTTAAATTTATTAAAAGTGCAACTATAGAGAAACCCCTTGCTTATGTCCTGGAGGTTAGGTGTATTAGTTATTCCAGCAAGCCTGCAGAATAAATTGTACTCAAGAAAAATGCTCTACTTTTGGTGATTGACTAATGGTCTCAGAATCAAGACTTGACGCAAGCTGAACTGTGAACCAAAAATTGAAAATAAGGTGATGGTTGAGAAATAAATTGAAATAAAGGGCAAGATTTGCTCAATCTGAACCACAACCAATATGTTAAAAAGAAACAAACGAAACAATAGCATTAAAGAATGTCAGAACTGCAAGAGATCTTAGAGCTGATCTAGTCTATGTTTTTCATTATGTAGGTGGAAAAAAATTGAAGCTCAGGGTGATTAAAGACTTATGTAAAGTCACAAGAAGCCACTGATTGGCAGAGGGTGAGATAAAGGGCGCGTGTCCATCATGATCCAAGTTTATTGTTCTTTCAACTTCTTCAACATGCCTGATAGTGTACCATGCAAGAAAAATTTGATTTTATCTTTTCTTTCCAAATAATTGCCTAGTGATAATATCCTAAAATAATCAAATTGAGACAAAATTAAAATACTGTCCGAATAGAGCCTTTACTAATCTGTTTTTGTCCCTATGTATAAAAAAGTAGTCTTTAAAAATTGAATCTCAACCTTGTTGGCTGCACACTTGTAATATGAAGCATATGGATTCTTCTTTCATCAGCAACACAAACTATTTGCACTCCAGGCTCCAGCTCTCTCTTAAATTAATTGCTATCCAGCACTCATCAAAAGCCCTGTGGAGGGGATCATTATGAAGGGCACTTACGAGGATGTCCGCTTCTTCCTACAGGTATGGAAGTTCTAAGCTTGTATCAGGTAACATCACCAGAGAGCTAAGAAATGCCGAGTCAGTTGCTTGGCCCTCTCTGATGACATGAGTTCTAGTGTTACCCCTTTGGCATTGATCAAAGGTGACCGCAAGAAACAATCATGTCAAGATTGTTTCTATATTTTCTAAAAAAAGTGGGGGACGTATTAAAGACACCATCATCTGCGTTGTTCTAGGCTCTTTGGAAATGCATAAGCATATTTTGTGATTGGTACCAGGAAAATGTGTTCCATTCAAAGAAGTGGAATGTATACTTCTAAACTCAAATAATAATAATAATAATCATGAAAGTCATTTTCCTTTCTGCGTTGGCTTCCACAAGGTACAGATTAAATGTTAAATGAAGCTCAATCTTCGTACATAGGCTTAAAATGGGGGCATATTTGCTTTTTCCACTAAAAAAGTATTTCTAATCTAACAATGATATTTTCTACAAGTCTCTTACTGTAAGTTATCTCAGATCCTCTTTTGGAAGTAGTGGGGAGTAAATAATGAATAAATACATAAAACACTTGCTTTGTTTTGAGTCATTGATGACTATGCTGCTTTGTTAGTGATAAACGTGAGTTTCCTGCTACACACAGCGCATGCTCTGGAGTTCTGGGGAAACTAAGAGGTACCCAAAACACTGCAGGCCGTAAGGGTCTTGAATCCAGCCGTGGGGCTAGAGCATATGTAGACATAAACAATATCAGGTGGCAAATTCTAAAGTGATTTCAAAGATCCATTCTCTCTTAAGACTAGAAGACTATTAAATTAGTAATTTGGACATTTGGTCAAAGCACATTCTGTTTTGAATCAGCTTAATATTGTTATTTTGGCTAACATTTTTCTGAAGGTGGTATAATTCTTTGGGTAACTCTGCCTCTGAATAAGTTTTCATAAAAGCAATCAGTATTCACGGTAGAAATTTGGAAAATCAAAAAAGTATAAAGGAGCAAATTAAAATAACATATAATCACACTTTGAGTTCATATTGTATAACACAATATAGATAATTTAGTGTCCCTGCTTTTTCACTTAATATAGTAAGAATTCCTAGACAATAGATATTCTTCAGTAACAAGATTTCTATTGTGCAACTTTTCATTGAAGGATTTGCTCAACCATCACCTTATTGTTGGAGATTTAGATTGTTTCCAACCTAGTTATCTCTACTAAATGTAGTATTGTGATCTACATTGTAGTAATAATCATCATGCATTTGTGAAGCCCTGTGCCAAGCACTGTGTTAAACACGTCACACGAATTTTTTTATTTAGTCTCATAATAATCCTGTGTAGTAAGAACTGTTGTTCCTTGTTTATAGATAGTGTAAACAAGGAGTAGCAGTTAAAGAGCCCACAGCAAGGAAGAGGATTTAACCCCTAATCTAACATAAGCAAATATTCCAACTTGTTTTTTATGAATAAGTAAATAGGACTGCTCAAAGATTCCAACTGCCTATTGAAATATGCAGTTAATTGGCTCCAAATTAAGAAATCTGTGGGATTTTTCTCCATTCCCTTCCTCCCTCTTTACATATTTTTTAAAGGAAGAAAGCGTCTAATGAATATTTAGTGGGTTTTTTGTTTTTTCTTTTACTTTAGTAATTATTACTGTACTATGATAAAATGTGTTATGTACCTTTATGGTCCTTGTTGTTCCTTTTGTTTTTATTGAGATATAAGTGACATATTACATTATATTAGTTTCAGGTGTACAATGAAATGATTCAGTATTTGCATATATTGTGAAATGACCAACACAATAAATCTAGTTAGCATCCATCACTACACATAGTCACAAATTTTTTTCCTTGTGATGAGAACTTCTATAGTTCTTATTTTGTAGTCTACAGAAGATAGTAGCAACCCAGGCTCCAGAAAGGAGCCTCTCATTTTTACTGGAGGACAGAAAACCACTGTAATTAAGAGAAACAAGAACAAAAAAAAGAGGTGGTATAATTTTGAATATTACCATATTTGAACATGTGCAATGTTCATACATTTTCAAGTACCTAAAGAAATGGAACTGAATTAAACTAGCTAGCTAGCTCGCTGAGGCCGGGCTCCATTCCTGCTGTTTTAATGACTAGATAAGAATGATTTGCAATCAGCTCATCATTTGATGCATATAAAATAAGGGCTTCTAAAGTGCTTAATGATGGTTGAAATTGTTTCATTTCTTAAGCAATTTAAACTACCGTTGTGGCTTAATGCACCCTTTTGAAAGAGTGCCAAACCGGGTCTGAACTTCCACAAAGTTTCAGTTGGAGAATGAGAATTAAATGAAACTTTAGAGTGCTCAATGATTCTAAAACTATACCAAATCTTGTCTAAGCCCGAGGATTAACTTTGGTTTGTGAACGTCCTGGAGCTTCAGATCTCCTGACTTGGGCACCCACCAAATCCTAAGTGTTACAAACGAAGCACTGAAGGTCGGAGAAGTTAGAGAATAAAGGAGGGCGCCAAAGAGGGGCTTACCTCCTGCCTAACCAAACTGTCAGTGGAGAAACAACCTTGGCTTTTTCAGGCTAGAGGCCTCGGGATGCCCCCCATCCCGCACGGCGGGCGAGTCTCGCTCCATCAAGCAAGGGACGGAGTAGCTAGCGGCCGTCTGTAGGCTTAGCCCCTCCGACCCCCGGCCCCATCCGGAGTGTTAGGGGCCTTGGTTGGCCTCGCCTTCGGCTAGCAGGAGCAGCAGGAGCAGCGGGAGCAGGAGCAGCGGGAGCAGGAGCAGGAGCGGCTCCAGGGCGCGCTGGGGCGCGTGCCCGGCCCGGGGGGCGGCGGGGTGGGCGCTGGGTGGGAGTAGCGGTCGGGGCTGGCCGCAGAGGCAGGCGTTGCCAAGGCGCGCGCGGTGCGCGTCCCTAGCAGCCGCCCGCCCACGTCAAGGTTTGTTTAATAATCGCCGGGGTATTTCTGGCTGGGGCTCCCGGAGGCCGCGGGGGAGGCGGCTGAGGCGCGGCGGCTGTGCAGGGCACCTCCCCCCGGCTTCCCGAAACCTGCCCCGTCTGACCCGAGGGGGAGGATGGAAGGACCAGCCACGCTCTGAGCCCCTCAGGAAAAGAACACCCTTCCCGCCACATCAGCCCGGGGTCCTGCGGAGGCCACCGCCTCGTCCCCTCCACGTCTCCATCTCCCAGAGCGCGGCCGAGTGGAAAAGTGAGCGATGGCAGAAAACGTGAGGAAACTGGTCTCGAGCGAAACTTTACGACTGATGCACGACAAGCTAGAGTGCTGGCTGAGGGAGTACAACGTGAGTCCGGGTGGCTCGCCCTCGCTTTAGTTCCTGGCAGAGCCCCCTTAGGGCTGGCTCGGGGTGGTCGCTTAGCAAAGCCCCGGCCGGCGTGATTCCTCGCCGCGCGACCCAGGCTCCGACCCGGATCTTGGGGGGGGGCGGGGGGGGGGGAAGGGCACGGGTCGGCCCGTGCCCTTCCGCCCCCCCCTCCGGCGCCAGGGGGCGCTGGGGTGGCGCGGCCCGCGGAGCGCAGACTCGGAGTCCGCGCAGAGAGAGCGCCTTCGTCCGGCGGTAACCAAGGACGCTGGCGGCCCTAGAAACGGGAAGGCCCCGAGGTCCGCCAGGGGTCCAGCCTGCTGCTTTCCGTTCCATCCCCTTGTTAGCAATCCACCTCCCTATGCCTAACTCTATTTTTTTTTTTTTAACTACACCCCTGGTCCTGCCTCTCATCACGTCTCAGGATACTCAGGGGTTGTATCACAATGAATTTTTATAAAAATACTCCCAGGAGTTATTACCCAGATGTCCGTGAGATGGACACTTGTCAACGTTGCGGATTTCATTTGTGCGCTGGTCAGCATGGCAAGTAAGGCACAATTTTACACCAAGGCAGACTTCAGGAGGCCTGTTACCAAGGCAGTTTTAGAAAGCCAATATTCTGTCATCAAATCCATAGAGCTCTTCAAGTCTCATTAATCCCCACCCCCACTCCGGCTCGCGTTAACCTCCCCCACACATTAAGGACAACTCAGTGTTGCATTTGCTGGGTTTGATCTGTCCGTCTTAAATAGGAGGGTCCCACTCGTATAGTGGAACAGTGAGGCAGACAGAGCTGGGCATCTGTGGACCCGGAATGAGCCCCCCTTCCCCCACACCAAGTTCTGGGTCTGGCTCTAGATAGGACTAGCAATTATCTGGGGCAATTTATTTCACCTCTCTGGGTCTCAGTACCTCATCTGTTAAATAGGACAGACTCACTCAACCAGATCTCAGTTTTTTTTGAATTTAAATCGGCTTGTTTCTGAAATCCTACCAGGAAAAATGCAACTGGATGCTGTCTGAGTCTCTGGGCTTTCCCACTCACCCTTTGACCAGGGCTCCTGTGGTGGAGGGGAGCTCAAAGGACACCTACAGCTTTCTCCTTGCCCCCTTTCTAGTGTTCAGTGTTTACCATCTTTGCCCACTTTTAAAGAATGAGCACTGTGACTATTCCTTCCCCATCCGGATTGCAGGAAAATTAAAATTTACCTCTTACAGCGTGTTATTTCTTCCTTTTTCCCTTCCCCACTTCCTTCCTTCCTTCCTCCCCCCCTTTCTTTCATTATTACCCCTTGGCCTAAATAAACTCTGAATGTTAAAAGGTATATTTAGTTTGGGGGTGCCCGGCTGGCTTAGTTGGTAGAGCGTGGGACTCTCGATCTCTGGGTTGTAAGTTTGAGCCCCACATTAGCTGTAGAGATTACTTAAAAAAATAAATGTTTTTTTGTTTTGTTTTTTTTTACAGAAAGTATATTCAGTTTGCCACAAGACAATGTTTTAACACAAATGACATTAGCATTTGACTGGATCAAATTTAATGATTGTTTTAGAAACTTTTCATAAGTACTGAGAAATGCCAAAGTTTATTACACTCTCCTTTCTCAGTAACAGTAGTCCCCCCACTCCTCTGTTGTCGTGGAAATCATTTCAATCTAGATTCTCTCCCCCATGCCAGGCTCCTTCCCCCACCTTCATAGAGACTGCACTCTTGGAGACCAATGCCCTTCCAAAAAATCTGTGGCCATTTCCCCGTGCGATCATTTTTTTGGACTATCTAGTGTTTCTGTTACATTTGACACCTCCATTCTTCTAAGGCTCTACAAATTGGTCTCCTTTCCTTACCCACTTTCCTCCTATGGCAGTTCTTTAAGCCTTTAGGAGTCTTCTCTTGGGCCTCCATTCTTGCTTCTCTCTTACACATATGCCCATGAAGCTCACATCCATATTCAGGGCCTCTTCTCATCTGAGCTCACTTCTCTGATTGCCTATTAGACATTTTCAGTTGTGCTCTCGTCATCTCAAAGTCAGATCAGTCTAAAACCTGTCTTAGCTTCTCCGGTGCCACGAACACTGGCCTCTTTCTTGACTTCACTGTCTTCATCATGACACACCCCACAACATTTTTGCCAGCTTAATCTGTTGGCACCTACTTCGAAATTCACACAGAACCCTTTCACCTCTTCTGCTGTAATCACCCTTGTCTGCCTTCCATCATCGTTCATCTAGATTATTGTAAAAATATCTCAGAGTGATTCTTCTAAATGTCAAGTCAGATCAAGTTACTTCTCTAATAAAATACTCAGACTTTCTGTCCCACTCAGAATGAAAGCCAAAGTTCCTGCAATGGCCATCAAAGTCCTACACAACTGTGCTCCTTTAAACTCTGACCTCATCTGTTACTCCCTTCTTCACTCTACTCCAGCAATACTGGTCTGGTTGTTCTTTCTAGAGCAAAGCTTTCAATAGAACTTTCTATGATGGACATGTTCTCTACAGGCACTGTCCAATATGGTGGCTATTTGGTACGTGAATTGTGGCAAGTACAAACTGAGAAACTGAATTTTAAATTTCATTTAAATTAAAAAAATTAAATTTAATTAAAGTTTAATTAATTTAAATCTAAATCGTCACATATGGCTAGTGGCTACTCTATTGGGCAGAAGAGTCTAGAGCACACCAGCTGGTCTCCTGCTTCAAGGGCATTTTGCACTCACTGTTCCTCTCTGCCTGGAAAACTTTCGCCTGTGGATATTTCAGTAAGATATCAACATCTTTGCTTTCTCTCCTCCTTCAAGTCTTTGCTTAAATGTCACCTTCCCAGGAAAGACCATTCTGTTTACAATTGCCATCTCCTACCTCTGCCCCTGGCACTCACTGTGTCCCTTCTCTGCTTTGTTTCTTCTGTAATAGCTACATCTTCTAATTTTTACTTATTCTTTCATTGTCAATCTTTCCTCCCTCCTTCCCACTAAAATGTAAGCTCCAGAGGGCAGAGATTTCTCCCTTTTTCTGCTCATCTCTGTATTCCCAGCACTTAGAATAATGCTTGCCTCCTACTAGTTGCTCAATAAATACCGACTGATTGAATGCTACCATCATTCTCCCAGACACCCGGGTTCTTGGACTCATTTGTCTTCTTAAAACCTCATATCCAGTGTAGAATTAAAGATGATCCCCAAATATCTTTAATTCAGCCTTTGTTAAAATTGAATAAAAAAACCATGATTTCCAGGTAGGGGCACAATTGAGAGGATGCAAATGTTTTTAATAGTGTGTGTGTGTGTGTGTGTGTGTGTGTGTGTGTGTGTGTGTGTAGCTAAAGAGAGAGGATAAGAAAATATGTATATACCACCAACCAAAATTAAGGTTACCTCTAGACTTATTCAGTATCTTGTCACCTAGAGTGTGGGTTTTGGTCAATGGCTAAGAGCCTCCCTTTAATACGGCATTTGTTTTACTAGTTCCGAGGACTTTTTCCTTGAAGCTTTAAGATGAAGAATAGTCATTGTAGCAAACTACATTTATTAAAATGTTGGTTGTAGAGGTTTATTCATTAAAAGCTTTAAATTATGTTTGCTATGGAAAATTGATTTTGCTGACTGTGACCACATTGATTTAGTTCTAATTAACTCAAGCAAAATAAAAGACCATAAATACCACTCTAGAATTAAGAATGGGATTAAAGTTATCCCCTTGGGAAACAGTTATTTTCAGTGAAAAAGATCAATGACTTGAACAGATTAGTTCTAAAACACAATGCAAACATTTCATTTTCCTTCAAACTAGCCATTATTGGGATGAACAGTTAGATCATAGTTAATTTTTCTTCTTTCATATAATTTCCTTCATATGGATTCCCATTTCCTCTGCCTTAATCTGTCCACCACCACTCTTTTCATTGGGTCCTATGTATGTGGTCAGACACAGTACATTTTTTAAAAATGTAATTTTCTGCCCCAAAGCCTTTGGTTTTTATTTGTTGGCTCGCTTTTAATCTTACAACATCTAGCAATCTTATGGGCCCTATGCAAAACCACTACTTGCTTAATTTTTTAAAGATTTATTTATTTAAAACAATTCCAAGAAGGGATATTTTTCAAAACCTCACTAGAGAAACACAATAAAAACAACAGCAAACATTGCCAATTCACTTTCTTTTAGTTATTAAAGAGAAGCTGAATTATTGTATTACTTGATCTTTAAAACTTGGATTCCATTGGCTGTTCAAGGACAGCTTGGTATAAACTTGTAACTTTCAGAATTGTTCTTCCTCCTCAGTGGTTACTGAGACTGTTGGTGAAAGAACCATAGAAAATCTCTCCTTGTTCAACCAAGAACGGAGCCAATTATTAAGAGCTTAATTATTCACTCAATAAACGGTTATTTAGCTTCTGCTGTGTGTGAAGGTTTGACCTAGACATTCTATATTTACACTTTGGGCAGTGTGCCTTTATTGATGAACTTATTCATTCAACAAAAGATTTTTTCAGAGTTTATGATATGACTGTCTGTGCTAGATGCTGGGAATAGAAATGCCAGCTTCATCTTAATGATAAACTTCCAGTCGGAGACGCAGATGAAGGGTAGAGGAAAGAGCATGTGTCAAAAGGAGGAAGGCAGGAAGAAGCTGGCCTATTTGGGGGGGTCTATGAATGGTTCTAGGCAAGGAGAGGAAGTGAGATGGGGCTGAGGAGGTGGGGTGGTTGGGGCCAGAGGGTAGAGGCCTTAGGTGGTGTGTTAAGGAGTTTGGGTATTATCCCCAGGGGGCAATGGGGGGTTGGACTAAAAGCATCATGCAGTGAGGAGACATGTAAACAAGGTCAGACTCTGAGAATGGTCCTTCAGGTAAGAGTATGCTGCTCCAAATGCCTCCAATTGATCATGCACCATCTGTATGATCCTCTCGGTCAACTCTGCAAAAGGGTCAAATAGCCAACTATGCAGAACAGAATTAGGTCTCATGACCTAATTACTTCATA